TCAGTTTCCGTTTTTAAAAGCGCTATATGTTGAGCCACCTCAACTGGATTTGCATGCGACATTTTTAGCGGCAATCATTGGTCGATTTTCTAGCGTTGCCATTCGGGGAGTTGTAATAAGGCTTTTTTTGTCGCCGTGTAAGAGAAATATATATATATATATATATATTATCTGTACAATATATCACATACTGTAGTTTCAAATTCTATAAATATATTTTAAGCCTATATATAAATTAAAGTGCGTGATGCTTGTAATATTGAATATAATAGAAAGAATAAAAGAATATCAACTACATGTGGTTCTTGGCCGGAATTCTAGTGCTTTAATTTCTCTTATAAAGGTCTGTTAGCAATGTTGGCATAAAACTATCATCCTTTAGTGATTGTTACAAGTATCCTTTCATCTCATTTTCGGCAGTTTTTTGGTAATCATTCAACCAACAAGAAATGATTACCATTTGATTTTTCTGGCGCCGTGTGTGACCGAGAATAGAACGCAAAAAGGAAACATTAACATCATTCTTCCTTTGCGTTATTCGCCAAAACTCACTTAACCAATGGAACCATGACATCCGGCTGGCGAGAAAAATTTTTTAAAAAGGAAAGAAAGAAAAAGTATAATATCAAAGAAGTAAAAGTTTTGTATGGTCAGTAGAAGAGGTAAGAGCCCCGTATCTGTGCGGGCGTTGAATCTTTCTATTCCTTACAAACCAGTCTCATATCTTCGATGGTACACTAGCCTTTGCTGGGTATATTAGTCACGCTTCCTTGAATTAAACAAAGTATGCTGAGGAGAATAAAAAATTGACAAAAAGTTATAAGAACCGAAACTAACCTCTTGGGAACCTTAAACCGGTTTCTTGGTGATCTCGAAACCGTAACGCCCCGATCCCCAGGTTATTAGATGAAAGAAAGAGTCGTTCGAAAATGAAATCGCAGACGCACAATCTTTCTTTTGTACATAGAAACATTCCAGGGATATGTATTCGTTCTTGATCTATTTTTTCCATATTGTTGAGAACAGTACCTATTGTTATTTACTTAAAGAAAAAAATTTCTATGATTTTTTTTTTGAAAGCGCGTGTTTTTTGAGAGTGGAACGTAATTAAATGCAGTAAATATATTTTATTCTGACTTACTTGACCTGGTTAGCGCATATACCAACTGGATCCAAACCCCAAAATTTCAAACAAATATTAAGTACAAGAAAAGTTTGAAAAACTATTGAACTTAATTCACGTTTTCTTCTAGCAAAAGTAGGCAACACCTTTTAACAAAATCAAATTACAATTAATTATAATTTCTGAGAAATTATAATTAAGCGTAGATTGATTAGCTTATATTTTAATAAATATTTGAAATAGTACATTTATGAGAGACAAAACAGCAAATATGAGCAGGGGCTCTAATACTAAGTTGGATTTGGGTGTAATTTTTAGTAATCAGTCTCAGTTGATAATCATATATTAACGTCTTTAATAATTGAAAATCACCATTTTACTAAATTCTTTAAAGGAACGTTAATATCTTTCCATTAACAATTGGATATTTTATATCTATAATAACAAAATGAAAAGTTTGTTAAGGGGTAACAGTACCAAAAAAAAAAAAAAAAAAAAAAAAAAAAAAAAAAAAAANAAAAAAAAAAAAAAAAGAAAAAAAAGACCGAAATATCGAATTTTTTTATCACTTATAATAAAACTTAAACTATTTCAAGTGCACTGAAAAAAATCATCTCTCTATCTACATTTTTAAAAAAGTTATGAATGTTTTTAGATTGCCCTAATACAGAAACTTGCCCAGCAGACAGATTTTAAAGTGCTTTTTCTCATAGATGATAACTTGTGTTTTTTCTATTTAAGATAAGGCTTTGAAGCAAGCTTTTTTATCTTAAGTATAATACACTTATTTAAATTGCGCATGGAATAAGCATTTTATGAGGTATTACAATTTTTGAAGCATGTTATATATACCTAACAGGAATTTTTAATCTTTTTTTTCTACTTTTTTGCAAAATATTCTATAAAAAATAATCTAATTCATAAAGCAACAAATGAACTCACAAAATTGTTAAGATGAATATTGTAAGCACTTAGAATTTTTTTTTTTTTTGAAAATAGGTTAAAATAAAAAAGACTTAGCCATTTTTTTTTAAAATTTTCAAAAAATTAAGCAGTTTAACTATTTTTTGAAGATAAATTATTGATTATAAGTTAAATGAGCATGTAAAAAATAATGCTGACATTTATTTGCTTAATTCTTAGTAATTCTTAAGTTATGACAACGTTTGTTTTATTCTATAATACAAATTTGTTGCACTTTTAGAATAAACATCACTTGTAATTATGTTTTATTTTTTTATTGCACATTATTAAATTTTAAGTTAAATCCCAGGATCCTCTTAAAGTTATATCCTAGAAGTTTTTATTCATGCGTTTGTAGTTTATTGTGTGATGAAGCTGAATATAATTTCAATATTTTAGCTCTAGATCTCTCATTCACTTAATATTCTACCAAAATCTAGGGCTGGCATGTGTGTAAATATCATAATGTTTTTTGTTCTATTTGCAGAATTTATTTATCTGAATCACTGTTTCTGTGAGAGATAATGAAGGAGGACATTAAAATAAAATAAAAATTACCTTGAAAATTGCAACGTCGAGCTTGGTGAGTTATTGGAAAAAACTTAATAATTATTTTATAAATATAAAAATAAAATGTCAAGCATGATTTTTTTTCACAAATTAAGATTTATGAAATCATTGAACAAAAAATCTTTCAACAATAGACAAGAAAAAATAAAATCTAGAATTGAAATCCCTAAAATTACGACTACCTAGAATTTTATTGCTATCCAATACCATTGTTTCTTATATGTGAGACAAAACTAAGTATTATCATCCCGTACGAATAAATGGAAAAGGGAAGCATTAAAAAAAAGAAGACAAAATTAGAATACGTAAACAGCCGCTGAGAAACGGATAAAATATGTTTTACACGCGGAAAATATACGATGAGATATATTTATCAAAATAAATAGAGATTACAGACAGGTTGATTCGTGACTCTTGACAAAGCGAGCCAAGGATGCAGAACGAAACTTAACAATGAACGAGCAATGGGACAGAGGTCAGGAATGATGTTTCTACTGGATTATTGTTGTCCTGGACAGGCACTTTCTACGACTGGATCAGCAGCGATTAATTAGAGAAACAATGATACACTTTATATTTTTTTCAACCTCCTCATTTTATAATATTGAAGTTATTTACGGATGCACAGAGTGGGGGAAAAAGTCCTTGAGTCTTTGATCAAGGGATCGGATTTTTACGTACTAGGACTCAATCTCAATGATTTTAAGGTGCGACCTCAAATATGATAATTTATTGGTGCAGACGATATTCTAAGTTAAGAAATCGGACACCTCCCAAATGTAGGAGTTAGCTGCAATTTGAAAAATGTGATCCAAAAATAGTTTAGTCAGGAGGGTGGTAGAAAGTTTGGACCCTTTAATGTAAATTTTACTTTTCGTGCATTTCTCCTTTATCTCGAGAAATTTTTAAGTAAATCGAAAAGTTTTACAAACAATTACAAGATTTGTTTATCTAAAGGTAATTCCATGTAAAAAATAAATTTCAATAATTATTTATTGCTTTTTATTACTTTATTTAATAATAGTAAGGAAAAATTCGAGCAGTAAGGTATACAAATTTTTAGATCATTTTTAAGAATGCAATTTTATAAGGGAAAATATAAAATTTGGACGAAATCGATTTAATAGTTTCTGAGAAATTGAATTTTTAACAAGAATTACTAGTTTAATTTAAATAAATGTATGATTAGAGAAATAACATGGGAATTTTTTTTAAAAATTACTGAACAGAAAAAATAAATTTAAATGAAAAAAAGCAAACTGTACTGTTTACCCATTTCTAATATCACATTTTAAAGTCTGTTAACCAGATTTGAAATATTCCCATTTTAAGGTTTCGAATCCAAATCTTTTTTTAAATGATTATTATTTCAGAAAAAGCACATAATAATTTGTTTAAACATTGCAACACACTAAACAATAGCTGAAATAAAATAAATAAATGTTAATTGAGTTTTTCTGTTTTAGTCAGATAATAAATAATTGCTAGATGATTAAGTTAAAAATCATGTCTCAAGTAAGATTAAAAACATTGGAATTAAAGATTTGTTTTCTTATCATTTTTTTTCATTAACGTTTAAAATTTTCATTCACCTGGAGTTCTTCAGAAGTAACAGTACATTAACGCTATTATATATATACATACATAGTAACATGTGGGGCCACATTGTGGGCCCCTATTAAGCTTCTAATTATTTCCTCTGGTAGGGTACATTAGTACTCGGTAATATAATAAGTGGACCAGTTTGAACATTATGAGTCAATATTAAGGTAAGATATAGGACTATGTAGTAATACTGAATGTTAGTATAATATTAGATTCATCAAAGAATAATATTAGATCCAAAGATATAATTGTTTCCAAAAATGTAACTGAGGTCAATTAAGAATTACTTTGAGCACAACCTCTGATTTTGTTGCTTTTAAGAAGTTTATATTTCCATCCATCATGATTGATGAATTAATTTCTTTTTAACTGGAATTTTGACTAAAAATTGTTTGGAAATAAACGCTATAATTTTACAAAGGATTGCCGTATTTAAATTAAGTACAAATGGTCAATTCCATTTGAACAGACGTACAAATTAGACAAAATGTTTTGCCCAATTTAGCTACTAAATGTTAAAATATCTTCTCAAATTTTGCTGAGTACTAACTTATATAACTTCTAATTTAAAAATAAGGCAAATGTTTGATTTAGGTTAAAAACTTTTTAATTAATAATTTAAAATAGGCCGTGATAAACATGACAAAAAACGGGCATGGATACGGACTGTCTGTCAAAACAACATGACCTATCTCTCTGAAATAGTACATAACTTGGGTGCAGAAATTTCAGTTTTACAAAACAAGATTCTATTCAAAAACATAAAATAATAATATTTAAAGGAAGTACTTTTTTTTTATAAATATTTACTAGCGTGGCAGGCACGACAGCTTAAGAAAGATAGCTAAGTTTAACTGTTCATAGAAAATGTAATTACTTTAAGTTTAATGCAATTATTTTAATATAATTTATTAAAAACTGTAATTATTATAATATATAGGTTTTTAATGAAATAAAAACTTTTTTCTCAGTTTTAGTACCAAAATAGTAATATTTATTTTGTAAAAAGTTTTAAAAATGGTAACAAACATGACATCTGTCTGAATTTCATGGAATTGACCAAATAAAAAAGGAAAAAGAAATTTAGAAAATGAAAAAAAAAATCGTTACATAAACTATTTGAATAACCTCATAAAAACAGCACGTTGTCACATTTTCTGTCTATGTAGTGTCTGATTTAGAAATCCATAGGCAGTAGGGGCACCTCTGCACATAATCTTTTACTAAATATACATCCTCTTTGTATACAAAATTCTTTTGAATGATTCATAATGAGATCGCATTTGTTTCAATTTTTGCTAACTATTATGCTATATTTAAAGAAAAAAGAAACATTGTTCAAGAGGTCTGAAGTCAGGTCTATCAAGTCTTATGAGAAATTATGCACTGCTTTTATCAAGAATAATACGAACTATTCTTTTACAAATGAAATGAAACACATTTGTATTAAATATATGTTAAAGAATGCCAAGGCCCTCCTAGGATAATCTAACATGATCTCTACATGATAAAAACATAATCTTTCGTTTCAAAATGTGGGAATTACAGAAATTATCTAAAAAGTTCTTTCTACAATTTTAAAAAAAATATACAATTAACAACAACAACTACTTAAAAACAACTTTTGAGACATTTTCAGCGAAATAAACACTACTTATCAATCATAACTACAAATTAATGGTGCAATTGGTCTAAAAATAAACACTTAGTGAATGAAATACAAACATATTCACTGGCAAATGTAATTTTACACAAAAATAAACTTTATTGGAAAAAAAATAATAACATTGTCAAATTATTATGCTAATACATTTATTACATGGAAATTTATTTTATTTTAATTACATTAATCCTTTGAAGCAGATGGGACATCGGTGACCCTTTTATGTATATTTTTCTAATGATTTAATTACAAACAACAATATGTTTTGGTATTTTTTAATTATGAAAACAGTCTAATAGTTTCTAAAAAAAAATCTCTTAAATTTTTGAATTTATTTTTGTTTTAAAATGGGTAAATTTGTTCTGAAAGTAGTTTGAAATCTATTTTTCATTCATATTCAAAAATTTATTAATAATTGGCTTTGTAAATAAAGGAAATTTTAAAGAGAAATTACTGTTTTTCTTGGACATGAAAAATTATTGTTCTGAAGTGAACCTGAAGGAAGATTTTACCTTTAAAGCTAGAGAAGACCCCGGTGTTTCATACTGTATTCATAATCACAAATTATAAAAATACTACACATACTATTTTTTACTTAATTTGACCTAAATTAATACTAAATAATGAAAAATATGTTTCATAAAAATTCTGCATCAAAGGGTTAAATTATTTATTCAATTGTAGTTTACATCTAAATTACAACAGGATAAATATGTTATGATTAAGACTCATATATAGAAATTAATTTAAAAACTTTAATACTAGAAGCTACTTATATGTATCTGATAAGCAAGTAACATGAATGATACAAAAGAAATATTATCAATTACCTGAAATATAAATAAAAATTAATTGAAATATTATTGTCATTTAATTACAAATTAGATAACTGATTACAATTTTCAGACGTTTTTAAAATATCATTTCTGAATTTTATAGAATAAACGCTTCTTATCAATCACAACTGCAACAAAGATAGATTTTTTTAAAAAAAAAAAAGTATTTGAAATAAAAACTCACCCATGGCAGTTTTGTGAGCTTCCAGATGTTTCGAGTATTTAAAGCTTTTTATATAAAATTAAGACATGGTTCTTTAAATAACTTTATAAACACAAATTTTTCAAGTCACAAGTGGCTTATAAACACCTTGCCACACCTTCCCTGTTATTTGGGCTGCAGGTTGCCGCGCACCTTGATCATCTGGAAGCACGCTATTAATTCTACGTTAGCAGGTAAGGCTTGTTTACGTTCGACAGCTGGTTGTTTAGGCATACGGACGCCATCTATTGATCATTTATTCAACTATAAAGTTCTTTCAAGAAGTTATAATAAATAATTAAAAAAGGTATTCAGCAAAAGTTGGCATTCTAAATTTTTTGTGGAAAATTTATTATTAATAATAAATAATAATTATATTTGAAAACAGCTTTTCGGTAATTATCTTCTTTTTCCCATTGGTTGTTTCGATTTTAGATAAAAAAATTGTTTTTAAAGGGTATTCGAGGTATCTCCAACCTTAGTATTTCATAAATGAATGATGTAATATCTAAATTATCAAATTATTTTTCAAAATATAACAGTTGTATTAGTTTGTAGTGTGTCCAGCAGAGTTGGCCAAAAATGTAATCGATTACATTTTTTGATTACAGTAATCAATTACTTGTAATCATGATTACAANTTTTTTTTTCCATTGGTTGTTTCGATTTTAGATAAAAAATTATTTTTAAACGGTATTCGAGGTATCTCCAACCTTAGTATTTCATAAATGAATCATGTAATATCTAAATTATCAAATTATTTTTCAAAATATAGCAGTTGTATTAGTTTGTAGTGTGTCCAGCATATTGCGGTGATCTGTTAATATTTTAATTTATTTCAAGTTCGTTGTTATTAGGTTCGCCAATTATTACCTTGTTATTACGCTTTTCTTATTAATCGTAAGTTCGTTATTATTCAAACTTATTCAAAGCAGCTTCAATTTTATTTACTTACATGCAGGGTCAGGTTACCACACGGGGGAGGGCTTGTCCCAGGGGGGGGCAAAGTCTCAATGGCCCCAGGCCTAAGAAAGGTGGATCCAATCGATAACTGAGGACAATAAAATTTTTAAAAACTATTATAGTAAAACGAAATGTTTTAAACGACATTTAAATTTTTATTATGAATCTTATAGAATAAACGCTTTTTATCTTTACTCAAACAAAATATTTTAAGAAGAATAAAATATAATTTTCAAACAAATTTAAAAATGAAATTTTGGGTTTGTAAAATCACAACCCTCTGTTTTGGGTGTACAGCTTTACGTTGCAATTTTGCTTTCCTACAAATAGCTATAAAGCTTAAAAACTGGAAAATATAAAGGAATGCATATAAATATACGGAGTGCACTACGGAATGAAAATTTCAACAATCAGTCATTAGTTCAAGAATTATTTACTGTTAAATTTAAAGTAAAAAAATTCCACGTGAACCGCTCTGCAGTCCACAGGATTGCAGCAGAATTTTACGAGAAAAATGTTGACATTTAGGAAGAATACGAAGCAATGATGGGGGTTGGTGAGTTTAGAAGATTATACGGTGAGTATATAAGTTATATTTTTTGTACAAAGCGTACTTTTTTGTACTTGTTTATATTACCGTACAAGACATTGCTATCTGCAAGTAAGGTATTGTTTCTTTTTTCTTTTTTTTTTCGCAACAAAACAGGAGTCATTAGTCAAATATTTTTTTAATTTATTGAACTTTTTAATAACAAAACACAGTAAACTGAATTATTTGTTCTATTGGCTCAGATTTTGTCCCATTTAATTAAGCTATAAGAAATATCATGGGATAAGGTATCTCACTTGTTTACATAGCAACTAAAAAGTAATGTCGAATGTGTAAATAAGAACAACTCAAAAATAGTATTTTATACATGGAAATTCTTGTATTTGCTCTGAGTTGCTCGTTATATTGACTCGTGTTTGGTCTCATTCGATTCACAGTAAAAGCATACATAGAAATCAATTTCTCTTTCGTCTAGACAGCAATGTCAGGGGTTTAAATATGCTCAACTGCAAAATCTTTAGTACATAGAACTCTTATAACATCTAAACTATCGATCCTATAATATCATGCTTAGTTTCATTTACTTCAACGAAAAACTACATTGGAAACAATTCCCCATTTGTCTATGCATCAAGTTTCTTCCTTCTAATTACATCTTCCACCCAAATCCGTAGCAAAATTTTGTGAGATTCTCATATGAAGGCCTTTTGAGATCTTCACTAACTAATCCCAATGGGTCCCAGTTTGTAATATTTTAAACAAACGAGAGGATGGAGGGACCAGCCAGATCTACAGTCTTGAATTCCATCTCGCTTGTCTTGGACGTTTTGGCCATATCTTGCAGTTTATGCTTAACAACATTTCTACATTGTCAAATTTCTAAATATGCGGGGGAAAAGTGAATTCAGTTAAGGAAAATAAGTTTTTAAAGACATTTCGTTGCTTATTTTATCACCCACACTATTTATTTGCTTGTCTGAGAATCTCAATCATTGAAGATTTTACACATCAAAACTTGGCGATCTTGCTCATACATGCGATTGGTGCATGCACGAGAAGAAATTCGCATGTAATAAGAAAGGCCTCTTGACTCGCTTCAAAAGCATATTTATTAGCCAATCGAAATTTTTTTCTCTCAAATTGTGAATGTGAAAGCTCAAGATCATCTACTCAAAAGTGTTTAAAAATGAAGAGTTCACAAGACCATTCAAAACTAATTAAACATTTGGTGCTAGCCGCTTTTTTCATTGACTTAACAATAGATTTAGACGAAACACACTTTGGATTTTATAAAAAGTGGCTTTATATAGGAGAAGTTTCGCAATATTAATTCTCGAAGTCACCTTATTACTGAAAAATAACCCCATTGCAATTCTGATCACTGACTACTATGTGTTATATGAGAGAGATTTAGCATTTTCATGCAGCATCCCGTTCATTTACCGGAGTGCAACTTAGTTACTACAGAAACTTCTCAATTTTCTACAGCTCTTGAGCAAAAGGTAAGTACGTAAACGTACGGAATGATAGGTGACTAAATCCTTTAGCCGAATAGTATTTCAGGTCAATCCATTATGACGTTATCGTAACTTTTTTTACAAAGCTTCTTTTCAGTCATAATGGCAGAGCCCACTAGCAACACTGAAATGAAACCGTCAGTACATGCTGTGGATTTAAATCGTTGACTCCCTATAATTTATAATATACTATTTCCGACATATTTTTGTGTACTTTTGTTTATACATCAACTATAACACATAAGGACGACTCTGAAGTTATCATGAAGCATTTCTTAAAGTTTCTCCTGATTCAACAACCTACAGCGCACTCTAGCAACACTTAACGGAAACGATTAGTTTTTTCAGCAGATGTGAATATTTGCAATAGGACTGAATTATTGAATTTGTGTTAGTTTTTTGAAATATTTTCATATTGTGCATTTTAATGTAGAAACATAAAAAATTTTCTAATCAACTACAAATCTTCTAAAAAGTAAAAAAATATTTATTTTATATTTTACTTACTTCTTTCTATTTCTATTCTTTCATATAATAAATTCTACTATAAACAGAGAAAAAAAAACTGCATTGATAACACTTTTCCATATTCGTTATTCCATTAGTTTATAAGGTTTAACTGAGCATTTCATCCATGTAAATACACATTAAATTTAAAATTAAAATGAATATAAGAAAAAGAAAAATGATGAGGAACTCAAATATTTAAAATAAATAGTCATTTACATTGCAAAATGTATTTTTGTCTTCATAAACAAACAGCATCCTTAACGAAATAACATTTAAGTATTTCATAGCACTAAAATAAAGCAAATGACCAAACGATTATAAGGAACTTTATAAATTCAAATAAAAATAATAAAAGAAAACGATTAATTCACCAGTCTAACTATTAGTTGAGCTTTTTGCCGTAGCGTGGTGCTGAAACCGTTTAGAACAGACTGTTGTCATTTTGGCGAGCGCCGATAAAAAAATGCTCTAGCATTAGAGCTAAAGTTCTTTATATATTTTTCTGTGATCTAAATCTCTTTTTCTAATTCTCTGCGATATTTTGTTTTGCTTGTATTCTTACGGGAAGAAACAGAGTTACAAGCAAACTCATTTATTTTGTAGCGGAAAAAAATATCATCGTTCCTAACCCAATGCAACTTTTTAGAATTTGTTTGTTTTATTTATATTATAGCATACATTTTGTAACATCTAACATAGATAAATGACTGCAGATAAATAATGTAAGTATTCTATTGTGTGATTTTTAGTGACATTCATTTCTTTAGGGAAGATTTTTAGCAATAATTTAATTACTTTTAAATACAAACAGCTGCCTTTTTATAAAATTAAGTTATATTTAAAATTTATTAAAAAGAAATAAACGATCAAAGACTATTCAACTGATAAAAACATCACAAATTTTATCTTTCTTATGTAACTCTAAATTACTTAATTACAAATATTATTTCAGTAAATTATAGATAAAATGATTTATCGAATTTTGCCAAACTTGCTATAAAAATTACACTATGATAAGTGGTGGTATTTTTCAAACCTGCTAAGCTAACACTAACAAATAATTGTCCTTCTTCAATTACTGATATTTTTTGTACATACATATTTTGAAACGCAATATAATTTAATGTGTATAAAATTGTCTTTCTGTAGGCTTCACTTTCATCATAGTATTATGTGCAATTAAAGTTTATATAATTTGTATAAAATACGCCAATTTAGTTTGATATTTTTCCACACTGTAAAAAATGGTTTCACAAAATTGTGCAAAAAATATGTCAAAATCGCCCCGAAACTAATAATAGTCAAATATGACTGTCCCATATGTATTCAAAACTGAAAAAGCATATACTAATTTTTGAGCAAAATGCAATAGTCTTAAACAGGATGTTGAGGGAGAAATACGAGACATAGGTTTTCGTTGACGGTCGGCAGAATTCGAACCAAGGACTTCGGAGTTCGTAGTAAGAAGCTCTAATCATCATAGTTGTACTCCACAGAATAGAGAGAGTTAGGAAGCTTTATATATCGGCCTCCGCAATGTCACATCAACAATATATATTCCATAGGCTTAAAAGTTTTTAAAACATAGAGAAATAAGCAAAAAGATAAATTAAAATTACTGATCTCTTGACTACGTTATTGAAACCACATTTTCCCTTTGAACCATACATTGTGGCGCCACTATTTAAAGCTTTCTAACTCTCTCAGTGCTGAGGAGTACAATTGTCACGGTTTTAGAGGGTCCTTCCTACTACGAACCCAAAAGTCCTTGGTTCGAATCCTGCTGACAGAAAACGAGCATCTCTCTAACACGTTTTTTTCTTACATCACTTTTAACTTTTTGAGACCATGCATTTTGCCCAAAAATGAATATTTGCTCTTGCAATTTTGAATGTATGGGGTTTTCAAATGGGACTATTATTTGTCTCGGAGCTATTTTGACACATTATTTCTTGACTTTGTAAAACCTTTGTTGTTTTGAGAAACTAATGCAGGTGAAAATAATAAAATCAAGGAAAGACTCTCAGATTTCACAATTTTTTTAAAATTCCAAACCAGGAAGAATTAGAATAACTTTTTAAATATTAGAAAATTAGATCACAAACGCTTTTCGTTTTCACTAAACTGTGGCTTTTCAATTCATATTGAAAATTTTCACCATTTTTATGATTTGCGCGAAACTGGTCCTGCATAAGATAGACAAAAATCAATCTAACAGTCATGAATAACTGTTTCAACCTTCACGACAGTCATAAAAAGTAGTATATTATTCCATAGTAAAGAACGATTTTCATTTTATTGAAGGGTTTTCTAAGAACAACTTTAAAGATTAAACCATCTTGTATGACTTAGAAATTGCTCTTATTTTTTAAATTTTTCAGAAACATTTTTTTTTTTTTGCAGGTGGGATGAAATCCTACATTATGTGTGGATGCTACCGATTTTTGCAACAAATGCACTAGTATTTGCTATTGGTATGACTTTTCTTTGTATCCATACCCGACAGTTTGTGGGAGATGTTTTTACACACCATCCAACAATAATACTAACACTTGCCGTAATTTATTTAGTCTTCACTCACTTGACAAAAAGTTATGCTACCTTGTATGTGATAGGTCTGTGTCTGCCTTTTTTCAAAAATTGGTGTTTTCGAATTACAATTTGCTTTTACTTGATGCACATCTTCCTATTTCCTATAGCTTTGCATTATCTGGAATTAATCATGATTCCTGAATCTGGTTAATGTATAACCATTTTTCATAGGTTAAGTGCTCGAGAGCCGAAACGAGTTTAAAAAACAATTACTTTTGAAGATTGATTTTCAATAAAGTTTTGTTTATTTAACAATCTTCTCCCGATAACTTGAAGCTTCATCGTGTGAAATTGAATTGTGTATGTGCATTTAATTTCGTAACTATGATTCTAGATATAAGTTAGAAGTTTTGAAAATAAATTTGTGTTGAATAAAATCATTTTAGAACGCATTTTTACTTGTATTTTATTTGAAATGCTGCGCCTTTTAATTTCAGCTTATAACTAAATTAACTTTCAGTGTAACCTAAAAGAAGGTGCAACAGATGAAAAAGTTTTTATAACAATATTTTTTAGCTACTACACTCAATTGCGGCTGTACACAATGCGCTAAATGATTAGTTTGATCCGAAGCTCAAGACCAATATATAACATTTGATTGTTATTTCTCAGGAAAGTATCTGCTGACGTTATTTCTCACAGAATTTTTCATTCTGTATTTTTTATTCTTTCTGTTTTTGTTTTAATAGCTTGTTTGCAAATGCTTACACTAATGCTTACACTTTGCAAATGCTTACACTAATTCGATTTACTCTTAGATTCTCAATTTATCAGTGTCCCTTGAACCGGATCTCCTCTTTACTTATGGAAAAGTGCCAAAAAAAAGTTCGAATTTTTGTAAATTTTGAATGGAAAAGGGGAGAAAATTCAATATTAAAAGTTGGATAGGATGCGAGAGAATTGGATAAGAGATGTGTGTAGAATCTGCAGGAGACTTTGCCAAACAAGTGACTCATAAGATTTTTTTCAGCCGATTTGTTACGTGGATGATTTTCGTTGCATACAATCTCCCTATCTGCTCAGGCAGGCTGGGTAATTTATTTGGATGACAAAAAAAAATTTTGTTGATTGTGTTAAACGAATGAGACAGCTTTTGATTTCTTTGCATTAACTTCATAATTTGCCTTGGCCTCCGTTTTCAAAATTCTTAGCATTATTATAAGAGATGATAGTTCTAAATTCAAATACATTCTTCAGTTTGCGTTTCTTCACTTTTCTAACCATTTCATATATGCCTGAGATTTTGAGGTATTTTCGATAATTGCTTTAAAAACTATTTTAACTTACAATTGCTGCGTTCTCTGCTTTACACGGATTTTTATTTAATCTGCTTATGAGTCCCTTTCAAAATAGATAAAATAATTAACCGTATTTAAATTTTATACTGAAAAGAAAAAAGAAGACAATGTTTCCTGGCTCGTACCCCCCAAAGCATCACTGGTACCAGAGCATCCGTCCAGGAGGTGCACTCAACATTCAGTGCAACAGCAAGGACCAGACGGCACTTACCAGGCTTATCAGCGGCCACCTTAAGTCCCTTTCTTTCGAGGGTAGTGAGTGTTAAAATCTTCCCAAAATGCCCAGGTGCCACAACATGCAGGCTTCTCCCCAATATATCCTGGACTGTCTTGGTCTGGACAAAAGGGACATACTAAATAACCCACTTTTGGTGGCCGACTTTCTCCGGGTCATGAATTTCATGGACATCGTTTAGCCCTGCTAGTTTTGGGGATAAGGAAGAAGAAGAAGAAGAAGAAATTTTATACCATTAGACCTTATAAATTTGATGTTCACTGTCACTGAATTGTTGTAATGTGTCATTTATTTTGTAAAAACTTCTTTTTACGAAATAAATGCCTTTTTTTTGTTAAGAAAAAGGGAGATTACTTGCATATTGGTTTTCTCCAGAATTCATGCTAAGAATGCCTCTGTGCGCCTTATATGTGAAATTATTTGAAAGTGACTAATATTCCAAGTGATTTCACTCACTTTATTTTCTCGATTAAAACAATCTTTAGAAATGACTGGAATGCTGAAGCAATATATCCTCATCGGTAGATGGATACTGCGACGGGATCCAGTTGCAGATTAGTCTCTCAAAATTACGAAGAAGAAAGTATTGTTCATATCAAATAAAATAAAAAGATGAAATGCTTCTGTCTCTACGGTAAAAATCGGAAGAAAAGAAAAGGGCACCTGAAGGATGTCAAATTCATAAAAATACTCCAGTTATTTTATGCGTATCTGATGTCACTTTAGCGAATATTTTAAACTGGAAAATTAATCGCCTGGTGTGCAATTAAACCTGTAATGGGAAATTCATGGAAAAATGGTCTTAAGTATTTCAAAGCTCAGAGTAGTGTGATTAGACACGCTTTTTCCTAAGGCCGCATTATTTTCTTAATGATGCTTAATTGCGCAGGAGCAAAGAGGCATTTTAATAAAATTGAAGAAGAACAGAAAAAAAAAATTATATGTAAATCTCTCTAAGGTGAAATCTTTTGATTCTATCACTATTGTGTTTCTCTGAAATGTTATGTATGCTGGAAATTTTATACATATTGAGGATATTCTACATTAATGATATTTACGTTGAATGACGTTGCTTGTGAGTTCAACCTAAACTTTTGCTTTAACTTTGAAATATCATCTCTACATCATTTTTTACTTTGCTCTTTTTCATTATCTAACGTTTTTCTATGGTTTTTAATACATTTTTCGAATTTATTATTGAAAGTAGGACTTAAAATTGTCATATGTTCTAACATTGAAATTTGAAATTATGAATTATATTAAGTCTAATTTTAGAATTTCAACTTAAAAAGAGTATTATAATTCATATAAATTTTTTCTAAATTAGATCAGCATCCAAGGCACGAGCTAAGCAAACGTGTATTGCGAAGCAACTCAAAAGCACCTAGTATTACATAAAACATTTATACATATATATGTATGTATTTCTGGCCTCAACTGATGAAATTTTTTTTCTTGTGTTGGCAACGAAGAGCTTTAAACAAACCGAGCTATAAATTGGACAGAAATGAGAAGTGGAAAGCAAACTTCATGTAAATAAATAGATTGTTCCATATTTTCATGATAATTATGCTTAATTTACGGTGGTTACATAATGATTTAGTGATTATTTCAACTTTATTGGTGATCAATAATTTAAGCAGGAAAGGAGGCGTTTTCGTGAAATTGCAGAAGAGCAGAAAAAAGTCTTTTGTAATAGATTATAAATGTCTTTTAAGAGGAGATCTTTAGACTCAATGTCTGTGGTTTCTTCAAACTCCTAAACATGTAATTGCAAAAAAATGTTATAAATATTCAGGATAGTCGACGTTTATGCTGCAAGTGTTGAATGACGTATAATTTTACTTATAAATTTCTGTTCTAACCCTAAAATACTACACCAATTATTAACTAATTTGTAACTATGTTTTTTCTTCTTCATTTTTTGATCTTTTTATGACTTTTATACATTTTACGAGTTTATGATAAGAAAACTGACTTAAAATTGTCCTGTCCCCGTATGGTGAAATTTAGAAATATGTATACTAATAAATTAATTGCCCTAAATGTAAATATTAGGTAGTATTGAAATTTATATAAATAAAATAAGTGTAAATGAAATATTAATGTTCATAATTTGAATAAAATCAAAAGTTTTACTACGTGTTCATGTTACATATTTTTAGAACTTTATTTTGTAAAGAGTACCGTATTATCACTCTTCCAAATTTAGACTAAAACATTCCATATCCAATGAGCAATGACTCAAAAGAAAAGTAGAATTCAACTTTCGGAGTTGGCGAGCAGAGAATAACACCCTAAAGTATTTTAACAATATCAAGGTAAAAATATATAATTTTATTGCATTTTAAAAACATAAATATATTACATTTCTTATAACATTACATTACATTCTTATAATGTAAAAATACATTTAAAACAGAAATACATTTACATTTCCTTTAACTGCGAATGAAATAATACATGTTTTACAAAATTTAAAGTGCAAAAAACTTAGAAAATACTTCATTCGAGATACAGAAGAAAAAACTCTTTAAAAACTAATATTTTATTAGCAGATCAGTCGACTTTTTTTCTGTTTTAATTTTTATATAATTTTTATTAAATATTATTGATTTTCGCATAGGTGATTGATTCGTCGGAGATAACAACATCTAAAATTCTGAAAAGTATTCTACATTTTTCATCACTCGCATTTTTTAACTATACAAGTATATCACAGAGCAAATAAATAAATGAAAGAGCGAACACGCTGAATAATTTTTCGCGTACTGCGATTTAATTTCAGTACGCGAAAGGAATTTGAATTTCGTGGTTACAGGGCCTAATTTTAAACATGTTAATTAATCAGTGCAGACCAAGTCAGACAAAATAAAAGTACTTTTTCATAATAAACATGCTTTTTTTTGGCAGTTTCGAATCGTTGACTCTCAAAATGTGGGGAGAGGGTAGCCAAAAACTGGAAAATTTGGTCCCACTTTTTAATGCAGGTAAGCGGTCGAAAGATTGGGACTCTTATTGTAAATATGTTAATTTATTTACTTTTAATATGTTAATTAATTTACTTAATTAGTTCCCCATCACAAAGAAATCAAATTTTTAAATTTTTATTTCTGACCAGCTATTTCATCGATTTAGTTTAAATTTTGGATTTTTCAATTAAAATTAAGCATATTAAATTAATGTAAGAATTTGTATGCCTTTAATTATCATTCAAGTTTCTTTTTCTACCATAAGTAAATAAATAATGAAAAATAATTTTTTACATTACTTTGGAAAAACTAATTTTTTTATTCTGTGTGAATCTGTTTTGATTCACTTAACCAGTACTTGAGCTATACATAAAAAGTGTAATTAACATTCATTAACATTAAGGGGCGCAATCCTTCAACCGCTCTCCTGATGTTTATTCAGAGAAAGTACGCTTTTATGTATAATCTCGCAACTTAAAATATCGCCTGCACTGATTAATTTGTATATTTGAGGTTATGATCTCGAATCGGTTAAGAGTGATACCTGGTACGCAAAACTCCGATAGTGGGTTTAAAAGTTATTCAGAGTCCTCGCTTTTTTTCCCACATTATACAAATAAGTATTGCAATGCGGTAGAAAAAAGTAAGAATTCGATTTTTCTCAGCAGTTTTATTAAAATTTGTTAAATTAATGATTTTATAATGCTGTTATATGCTGTTATATAATGCTGTTATATTAAGTTTGTTTCAATATTTTTCTTTTGTCTCTAATAAGGATTTTAATTAATAATGCTGTCAATTTCTTTTCACCGATACTTTTGAGAAAAAAACTATAAAGACAAACAAAAGGATAAGAAGGAAAATTTACGTTTTACTAGTTTTTTTACAGGATGATAATGAATTTACTAGATAGACTTAGAGCCAAAATTACTATTTTCCTTTTTCAAATAGACACCGTAGTTAAGCAGATACCTATAAATAATAATTGTAACAGAATAATTAAGTAACTTCTTAAATATGTTATAAATTTAATTGTTCTTTAGAAATTCTCGTCATTTCATTTTTCTTAATTTTTCCACTTGCTGTCCTTGGAAATGTTTCAATAAACATGATATAGCGTGGAATCTTATAATTGCTGATCTGAAACAAAAAAATATGGTAATCAAATATTTGAAATTTTTTTAATGATTAAACATGCATGCTTTTTTTTTCCTACTCAATCTTTTAGCATTTTTAAAGAAACATATCAAGATGTAGAACTTTCATATTTTTATTTGGAATATAAAATGTAACTTTTCAGTAATCAATTATTCCAAAAATTTTTAAAAAATTATTAACTGCTTTTAAAATGTATTTTAATTAGTTGGTATGTAAATGTACATTAAAGGTAAATAATCAAAAACTAGTGGATGGGAAATATATAAAAACGTAAAGTTCTAGTGTATAAAAAAGATTGCAACCGATAATTTCAGAAATAAAGTGAATGCATTTTTTAAATACTTCAGTTTTATTTTAATTAAATGATTATCCCGTTTACTTTATATTTACTTTTTAAAAATCATGGTAATTTACAACTTTTATAATGCTTGATCTTGACCTTTACTTATCTCATACGTCACTAAATTTCTCCTTTAATCCCTTCAGGACTGTGATCACATATACGTGATCGCGCGATTCTCCCTATACGACCCTTAGAATCTATATTTTGTAGTTCTATACTATATTTTGTTGTTCTGATTTTCCCATTTAATATCCGCTTCCCGTCTGAAATGGGAAGATTTTAAAAGTTTAAGGTTATTTTGGTACATTTTCTAAAAATAGATATAGAATTCTCTAAATGAAACTATCGAAACTCAAATATTTATTTCTGTTCAAGTTCTAAAATGATACTGCGCAGTTTTTATGATGGTACAAAACCTAACAACATTACATATGTCTATCCTCTAGCCACCAATTTTACATGTCAACCATCAAGTGAAAAATATATACCGTTCACTTATTAACCAAGAACAGATGTATAAGCCTGAATGAGTTTTCTCTGTACTTATCGGTTATAAGGACCATGAAGACAAGTTCAACAACTCCATGATACGATTTACACAGGTCATCGATTACCGATAATGCACATTAGTATACCAAATACAATAATATTATGACCAATAATCATAACACCTCACTTTGAGTACGAAAATATCGCACTTATTGATTACTTTAATTTTCGAATGCAATAATATTGCTACCAGAAAGATAATATTGCAAACAACAATAGTTATTGAATACAACATTCTGTGAATGTTATGAATTTGTGCAATGAAAATATTATAACCAATGATTAAATAAAATAAATGAGTTATACTGAAAAGAAAATACGAAAAAAATATCTTCATATTTAGGAATTCGGTCAATTTTAAATGCACAAAATCAAGTAACGTAATATTTATTTTATGAAAATGGTTCTAGAGACGTTCAGTCACATTCAGTACAGTTCACTTTAGTTGACATTGATAATATAGAAATCTTTTCATTTCATCATAAAAGAAATGGTTTTATGTCTTCAATGTCTTTTTTTTTCTATCATCGATGCGAATCAGAAATGCATGCCATTCTTCATAGCCAAATAATTCAATTTATTGGGGGTAAATTCTCGAAATACAGGGTATCCCAGGATTATTGAGAAAAACTTAAAAAGAAACTGGGGGACATCACAAGGATACAAAATCAATCTACGGTAGGAAATGTTTTGGGAAAATAGAATGAGAGGTATAAGAAACAAAAAGACACAAGAATGAAATCATCTGAAATATTTATGAGTGAAAAATGTTACATGTGCCGTGAGGAAAATGTCACAAAAGATGTGCAAAGTTTCCACCCTTGCTTGCGATGCAGGCTTTTCATCTTCGGACCATGGATTGGCGGACTCGCTGAAATACACCAGGATATTGTTGGATATCCGCGATACAATTTTTCTGCTGCTCGCGTGTTTCCTCTGTTAATTCGTCATGTGTATATCTGCCAGCTCGGTGTTCCTAAAACATTGTATACTACTCTTCGGGCGATGACAGCTCAAATAACTGTAGCAATACATGTGTGTTTTCTCGAATGCTCTTGTGAACAACACCACCTAGCGGCGAACGAGGAAGTTTCCGACTATGGGTTGCTCTACAAATCTGAATTCTTGCGATGTCCCCTGTCTCACCTTAAAATTTTTTCTTAATAATCCTGGGACACTTTGTATATTTGGTTGAGAGTTTTTATGTATTGCAAATTAAATGAAAAATGTAATTCTTTCAGGAACTGATGTCCTGGTTTGCTTTTTTTTTAATCCTGTGAATGCACCATCATGATACATCATTGTGTAAAACTAATAAGAAAAAAGTTCCATTTATATTGAACTCTGAAGATCAGCAATTTTGCAGTTTTTGATTTATTACTCGCCTACTATTTACTTAGGCTCTTCACGCCGTTTAGCACATGAGGCATCCAGTGTACTTCTACATGCCTTCTCCCGGTCTTTGGTTTCTAATCGTGCTCCTTCTAATCCTGTAAGTCTTTCTCTTTTAAGAATCTGCCATCATCTGTCGCTGCCAAGTCATTTTTGGTATTCCGCTTTTTCCTTTGCCCAAGAAAGAGAAACAAGCGCGAATTTTCTTTCTTGGCATTCTCAATACATGTCTCGTTCTTCTGATTCAATAATAACTAGCAAGTGACGTAGTCATATTAAACGGATATTCATTTCTTGTATTAAATGTATTTGTTTATAAAAAAATTTAATAAAGAAGAATCATACCTTTTCTTTGCAGAAGTTACGGACCTCTTCTTCTGTAAGATTCATTCCAGATTTAACATGTATCCAGCAACATAATTCTTCTCCCAATCTTTCGTCTGGTACGCCGCAAATCTAAAAATACATTTAAGATCATATGGTAATAATAATGACCAATGGGCATTAGGGATACAGGATTCATGATGCTTAAATATTAGATTAACAACTTGAATAGTTATGTTTTAAAGTACGTGAAATGAACGGAAAACAAAAATATGTAATTATATCAACTCACATTTTACAATAATTTAGGCTTTTTATTAAGTCCGTAATTTCGAAACGATGGATTTGATTTTCATAAAATATCTGGTTTTAGAATAATTGATTATTTTTTTAAAAAAAAAACTCTCGATTTAAATGAAACTTATTTGTGGTTTAGAAATAGATTTTCCTTTGAATTTTGTAATTTTTTTCATCCATTCATTTATAAGAAATTTTTATTACGTTATTTTTTCAGCTTTTTCATACGTTACTTTCCATCACCTTTAATTTCCATACGTTACCAGAGTTGCCAACTTGCTCCGGACAGCAAATATATATTTTAAAGTGGTAGTTTATCAATTGTGATTCTTGGTTTAATAAATTCAATTCAGTAGATTTTTATCCACCACTATTTCTAAATAATTCACAGGCTTATATATTTCACCACTATATAGCACTTACGTCATGTTATACCTTTAAAAAAGCAAGCAAAAATAGACAAATATTTGCAAAATTTACTTTGTAGTTATTTACCGTTTTTTTAATTATTTCGGCGTGTCCGGAGCAGTTGGCATCTCTGCTTTACTTTTCATCTTACACTGCTATCGAAGATGTGGCGTGTGTGTGATAAAATGGCGCTGGCTGAAAAATACTTTTAATTAACCAAACATAAATTGTTTAAAGTTTTTTTTCTTCATAATACACCCACTAAGCTTTGGCATTTTGAAGTTAAATCACGTGAAGAAAAGCATTAAATATACAACCATTCTAATGAAACAATTTTTCTTCTAGCCTTCCTTCATTTTAATTTTTTTGAGTGGGAGAACACTTTCATTATTAACAGAAATTTCAAAGCTTAACTTTGACCTTGAGTACGGCCTTACAGCAGCTACTGGCCCTCCAACACAAATTTGAAAATGCCGTTCTCTTCTCGGACTCACAAGTGGCCATACAATCAATTAGCTCACATGAACGTCCCTTGACACCTGAGATTTCCCGATGTCAAGACCTCTTGAGGTCTTTATTTTTGAGGGAAAAACGAATAGTCCTCCAGTGGGTGCCAGCCCATTGTGGTGTTTGGGGCAATGAGCAGGCAGATTTACTTGCCAAGAAAGGTGCCAATTTGCTACAACAACCAAATACGGCGACTTCCTTTTGGAAAATCAAACTGTTCCTTAAAAATTTATGTAAAACCAACTGATTGCAAGACCTTCAGACTCGCACAGCTTTGAAAAGTTGGAGAAATGTAAGCTCTTCTTTAATTCCCGACAAACCAAGACGTGATGCAGTTGCGGCCTTCCGCTTATATACAGGCCACGATTGTCTTTCTGTTCCCTTATACCGCATAGGCCTTTCCACCTCGCCTTTTTGTGCACTTTGTAAATCTGGAGAGAAATTGGGCAGGGACCACCTGCTTCTATGTGGGGCCCTTCATGGACACACTGAGTCCTCAAGATATTGGGAAGCAAGAGAACTTTTAAGGCAATGACTTCGGTCTTCTTTCTTTGTTATCCTACGTACATTTGTATTTGTTATTTATTTCATCTTTCTATTTGTACCTTTTGCCTTGCCATTAGAAGAAAAAAAAAACTTTGAAAAGAAACTTTTCAACCAACATGGTAAACTGTTCATAGATTTACAGTAAAATTATTAATAAGACATAAGTACATACTTGAACTTCGAGAATTGCTGGGTGAGTACTTAAGAAACTCTCGACTTCAGATGTATAAATGTTTTCTCCCCCTCGTATGACCATGTCTTTTATTCTTCCATCAATTTTCAGATGACCTTTCTCATTCAGTACACCAATATCTCTGAAATGATTGAACATATCATTGAAACATATCTCTGAAATGATTGAACTAACAATGATTGAAAAATCATTGATGAATAGTTTATTATCGACATAATTCAAAGAGAGCGTTTGAAAGAATGGATATAGATCAAAATTCGTATTCAAGGAAATGAATGAACTTGAAAAACGTGATAAAAAAGGGACTATATTGTTTGTCTAAAGTAAGAACTCCCCTAGCCATTCGTCTGGACCAGTGGTGGTGACTATGGTAACGAGGTATAACTATTTCACGTAGGGGTGTGGGGTCACTGTTTAGGATAATTTTTGACTCGGGGAAGCGAGAGAAAGGTAATCTTTTTCTCCGGTCTATTGTGTTAGCCTTAGATTTAGGAGAAGCTATCCTCCCTGATACGCGTGTCAGATATTACTCAAAATGCGCGTTAAAAATAACTGATCGCTTTTCAATGTTGCATTTTCAATGCTAAACAATGAACCCAAATTTTTAACGGCTAAGTTATTCTTAAAATAAAAATCCACCTATGTTTTCCTTTAAAACTACAAATAATAATTATTTATTTGCTACTTCTTTTAAAATACTATATAACAGTAGTTTAAGAAACGAAATCAATTGTTATGTTCATATACTTAAGTAGCTCAGCCCATTTTAGTAGCCGCACATTTTAAACTATGTCCATCTTTTCAAACTCACACTTGAAATTATTTTCTTAGACACGAACTTATGTCTATTTTCTCTTAGAGTCATTTCAGGCTATTTCTGTTTAATGATCTACATACGAGATGTGGCTAGTAAATAACGGAACTAATGCTCCCACTGAAGAACTACGCATGCGCCAAACGTTAATGGCTATGTAGTGTGAAGCCTTCTTTTTTTTTAATTGCCCCTCTTGTGTCTATAAACAATTTAGTGGCCTATGTTTGTATAAGAGCTGTTATTTTGTTTTACCGAAAATATAATAAGGGTAATAAATTAGCTGCGAACCTTCCGCGAAATTTCACATGAAACATAAAAAAGGCGCTGCTGAAACTTTATAAAAAGTGTGTGGCAAAAAATGTTTATCAAGTGCTCGAGTTTTTCAGTGGTTTAAGCATTTTTAAGAGGCTTGAGAAGATAATGTAGATGATTCTCGCCCGAATCACCCTTCTGAGCCAAAAACGGATACAAGAATTGAAAAAAAAGGGCAATTTTATTCATTTGGACCAATGGTGTACTAATGTGATTCCGGGAATTGTAGAAATTAACAAAGATTGCGCAAAATCCTACTGTTAGAAGAAGTCATGAGTTCTCCATGAAGACAACGTGCCAATTCCTTCTGCATCGTCTGTCATGACTTTTCTAGTCAAGCACAACATCTTTGACTTTATATATCGTCTGCACTAACTAATAACACATCTTTGAGATCACCGCCTCAGATCCTCGGTTCTGGGATTGAGTCCTAATACATGAAGATCCGTTCTCCAGATCAAAAGTTATTCCGGTTGATTTTTTCCCTGCTGAGTGCTGCTTTTTTTTTCAATAGGGATTTTTCTGAAAAGTGTGAGTTTTTAATAATTATGTTTGAATTTATTTAAATTTCTAAGTCGCATTCAATAAAAAACTGTTCAGAACACATTTTCTCCAAATTTCTTGTTTTTATGTTCATCATTTTCAAATCAGTCTCAAACTACAGGCTGCAATTTAACTTTTGGGGATTAATGTATGTACTCAACTTAAAAATTGATCATTGGCATTGAAAGAAAAATAGTTTCCTTTAAAGCAGTTGACTTTAATTGTATAAATTAGTGTTTTAGGTTCGACATTGAATTGACCATTGTTAAATGTTTTTTAACCATTGTCATTTTTTCCATCTTACCCAGTATGAAACCATTTTGATTTATCAATAGCCTCTTCTGTTTTAACTTTGTCGTTCCAATAGCCAGAAAATATTGAATAGCCTCTAGCCAGAACTTCTCCTTTTGTGTTTATCGGAACTATTCGGCCCTCTTCATCAATGATTTTCAACTAAGAGAAACATAGATTTAAATGTCATCTAAAAAATTTAAATTTAGCAATTAACACGCAGTTGCAAAAGAATATAATGTACAAAAGATTAATAGAAAAATTGAATGATACCAACTGTGTTGTCTGAACTTTATGAGAAAAGTATTGAGAAGCGAGGTTAAATGTGACAGTACTCTCTTAAAGGATTAGGTTTGAATATTTTAGAAACAGTGTATTTTTATTTATACAAATTCTGTATTAACTGTTGTAAGAGGAAGAAGTTTAAAGTTCTATTTAATTTTTAAAATTATTATTATTATTTCTTTTGCTATTTAAACTCATTGTGCTATATGCTAAGCTGAACTTCATATTAATCATTTGAATACAGGCTTTCCTGTTTGCGATTTTCCCATTCAGCGGCTCTAAACGACTCGCTCTCCAATTTGTTAAATAAAAAAATTGATTGTTAATTTTTTTTAGTTCAGGAAAATTTTTTAAAAGAAATTAAAGCTTGCACTATAAATACGACCAACTATAACTATGAAGAAGAAGAAAAATCCCCAAACAAAGAGAACGAATAGTTGAAAGTCGCTGAATCGTAAATTAGCTTCCAGTTTTGTAGAATAGAAAATCCCAACCATTATAGTACAAGGAGAAAGCTATTTTCAGCGGAAAGCAAGCAGAATATTAAAGAGACTAAACACATTGAGTTTACGCATTTTTTTTCTCAAGAAATTGGAAATCTTTTTGAAGTTAGATATGTACATTGATTAGAATTGTGAACACTGTCATTTTAGAGAGTAAATTGTTAATCATATTACACTCGAATTAAAAATCAAATAAATAATAGATGGAGGTATGATGCAGCAATTTAGTTTCCACAAAAAATCAATAACAATAAGTCCGAAAGCATTCTTATTTTTTCGACAGTACTTTCTAGAACACTGGATCTGCTTGAACTTTTCTAAGCATATGCTAATGAATTTCAAATTAATTGTTATGAAATAAAGAAAACAAATTTAAACTTTTCTCACTTAATATAATTAATAAATTTTTTTTGATAGATATGCATAAAATCATTTATGTAAGACATTTCAAACTGTATCACCAAAGTGTAACATTGCTTGGGTCACTAGAAAGCTAAAGCAATGGTAGAGAAGGAAAAATTCGTAGAGAATTAAAAGGAATGTTCGCATTATTTTATCACAGTAATTCTCAATCACTGTGCCGCGGCACTTTTGTGTGCCGCCAAATTCATAAAGTGTGCCGCCAAAATGTTAGAAATGTATATAGTAAAAATTATAATGTTTTTTTTTTTATTACGAGTAAAGTTTAAATTAAAGAAAAGTACTTATATACACACTGGTGGACAAAATTAGGAGATGGAAAGCATTTTCGCACATTTCTATGACGCTATATTCTTCTATGACGCACATTTCTATGACGTTATGACGCTATTTCTGGACAGTTATTGATATGGAGGGAACCTTGAACCCGATACCATCCCAGCAACATTATCGAAAGGGACCATTATGCTGGTGGAGGACTCATAGTTTGGGCAGGGATCATGCAAGATACCCGCACACCGCTCCATGTGTTTAACAATGGTTCCGTGAATGCCCAGAGGTACAGGCAGGTCCTCTGAGCCCTATGTGCATCTTTTCAGGGGTGCTGTTGGCCCTGAGTTCATTTTTATGGACGACAATGCGCGACCACATAGGGCTCTCATGGTTGATGAGTATCTGGAAAGCGAGGATATTCAGTGAATGGATTGGCCTGCCAAATCCCCTGACCTGAATCCTATCGAACATGCTTTGGATGCTCTTGGGAGAGCTAATGCGATGCGCCAACCTCCCCCCTGAACCATTCTGGAATTAAAAATTGCTCTGGTCGAAGAATGGGAGGGTCTTCCACAAGTCTTCCTTAACTCCCTTATTAACAGCATGCATACTCGTTGTGCATGCTGTCTGTCTGTCAGGGGTGACCATACACCATACTAGAGGCAACACACACTGTACAAGCCTCACTTTTATTGTCATCTTTTATCCTTAAATTCAGACTACATTGGATTTCTTGGCAATAGGTCCTGCCAGTGAATGGCACGTTCATTTTTGTTTTGCATACTTTATTATCATGGAATAAGCTATATCCATTCCAAATTTCATTTATTTATATTCAGTATTTTTTGAGATATTTGGGAAAATGTCTTCCATCTCTTAATTTTGTCGACCAGTGTATATGAATATTGTAACGGATAATTCATTATTTCCCAAAATTAGATCTAAAAAAATTTGATTGGGTTCGTATTCCATTTGTGATAACAAGTACTTCTGTATTTGAATTAACTTTGAATGAAGAGGAAGAACTAATTTTGCTTTATAACACTCGAGATTTAATTTTAAAATATGCGGAAGAATCAATTAATTCATTTCGGATTAACATTAGATGCGATAATCCCATGATAGCCAAAAACGCTTTAAAAATATTATTACAATTTTCTGCATCTTATTTGTGTGAATTCGGATTTTCAGTATTAACCAACATAAAAGCGAAAAAAAGATCGAGACTGTTAAATGTAGAAGACGACATGAGAGTAACATTGTCATTATTATGACCCAATATAAATGAAATTATCAAAAAACATCAAGCACAAATTTCTCATTAAAAATATTCTTATTATTCATTTGTAATTAATCCCCTAATAAACATTGTTTTTATAGTACATATTATATTATTTTACATTCCAAATTATTATCATAAAATATTTAACACAGTGTATTATAGGCAAGTTAACAACTTTTAAACTTATCTTTTTCTTTGGGTGCCGCAAGATTTTGAAATCGTTAAAGATGTGCTGTGACAAAAAAAAAAAAAGGCTGAGAAACACTATTTTATCATATATGTAGAGAAAAATGGTGACTATAACAACCTAAAAACAACAAAACTATACGATACATCAACTAGGCTTCTATAGTCACTGTAAAACGGTTAGCCTCAAACAATTTAAACTTGAGCATCAGCCGTACCCTCACCAAGTAATTGTAACTATATGACTAGGAGGAATTTTTAAAAAAAGATCCATTTTAGAGACACACCCAGTATTTAAGGTTTTATTTCTCACAGTTGTAACTTCAACTGAATTAAAATTAAATGAAACCCTAAAATATGTCTGAACAAAACTGTATATTTTATTTCACAAAATTACTACTTCTCTACTGTTTTTTTAAAACTTTTATCTATTATGTACTTTTTAAAAAAAGCTCAATAAATTTAGTATCACAAAAAAAGTTGTTCGGAAAGATTTTCTGAAACTTATTTTTTGGAGATTATACGAATTTCATATTAAATAAAAAAAAAGGTTCTTTAACTAGTGTTTCTCTTGCCTCTTTTACATTACACTGGTTTGCAAAACTTAAGCAACAAGTGGTTTTTCGGCCACAGCTCCCCAACAAAGTATAAGATACCCATGAAATTGCAGTATAATATACACGTAATTCGGTAGAAAGATTATTTGTATGCAAATTTTAGACATAAAGCGTCGTAGGTGATGTAAGTGTACTTAAACCTTGTGGGTCGGCGCGCGCAGGTCAAAGCTGCGATAAAAGAATGAAGAGCACCGTAGTTAAAGACATTCGCTGCAAGTGCAAGTGATTTGTTTTGTGAAACATGTCTTTAAGAAATCATTTAGACGACTTTACTCGAGGAAGAATGATTGGGAAGCTTGAGGAGGGGCGTAGTGTGACCAGTGTTGCCGCGAAGAGTTCGGGATCAACAAAAGTGTTGTTACTCGTGCTTGGAATGCCTTTAAAACTACTGGTACAGCTGTTCGGAAGGTTGGTGGTGGCCGTCCAAGGAAAACAACACCAAGAAATGACCGTTACATTGTCCTCCAGGCGAAAAGAAGCCGTTTTCAGTCAGCGAGCGCCATATCTCAGCAACTGCGCACAGCAACAGGACGACAAGTATCAAGATTTACAGTGGCCAGACGCCTCCACAAAGGAGGCTTATTTGCTAGACGTCCTGAACGCTGCATACCTTTAAAAGCTAGCCATCGGCGGCACCGTTTAGAATGGTGCAGAGAACACGAAACCTGGACACCTCATCAATGGAGTCGCGTCCTCTTCACAGATGAGAGTCGTTTTAGTGCTACAAGCGATTCTCAACGTCAAGTTGATCTGGAGAGAGGTTGGAGCTCGATTTCATCCCAATAACATCGCGGAAAGAGATCGTTACGGTGGTTCTGGAGTTGTCGTCTGGGGTGGCATTATGTTGAACGGGCGGACTGAGCTTCAGATCTTCGACCGAGGTTCTGTAACTGGAGACCGCTACTGCAATGAGGTAATCCTACTCCATGTGGCGTCTGTTCCGTGGGACCATTGGACCAGACTTCATATTTATGGATGACAATGCCCGCCCACACCGTACTGCTAATGTTCAAGAGCTACTGGTTAGGGAAGATATCACACGAATGGATTGGCCAGCTTACTCTCCAGATCTAAATCCCATAGAGCATGTGTGGGATGCATTAAGGAGACGTCTTGCGACACGAAAGTATCCTCCTGGTAACACCCATCAGATGAAAGATGCGTTAAAGGAGGAATGGAGACGTTTATCCCAAGAACTCCTGGATAATCTGGTGCTTTGCATGGAAAGACGATGGCAAGCAGCAATTACAGTAAGGGAGGGCATATCCCATACTAGGGAATATCTGCCAGTTGTACTTACGCTTCTTCAGGCAATCATGTGTAACGCCACTATATGTCAAATAAAGCCTTTTTTTGTTCCAAACCCTACTTTAAGCTTTATAGTCATTTCTGCACCATTATTCTTTTACCATCGTTTAAGTACAAAATAATGTACATCATATTCAAATTTCGTGTCAATCGGATGATTTCTTGTAGAGTTATGACAAAAATGCACTTGTTGCTTAAGTTTTGCACACCAGTGTAGTTTATTCTATCAGTATAGCCAAATTTGTCTACTTTATTATGAATTTATACATTCAACAAAATTGCTTCAAGTGGCAGACTTTCCATTAGTTATTTTTTGCATTGCATTGAACAATGAAATTTTAGAAATTGTATATTAGAAATGTTAAGTTCTACACTGAAGAGCCAAAATAAAACTGGTATACCTGCCTAATATCGTGTAGGGCTGCCTAGTATCGTGTAGGGATTTTGGTGGAAAACGGAAGTGTCTAAATTCAGAAGAGTGCCGCTGGTCACCAAAATCCTCAGACATGAACATTATTGAACATATTTGGGATGCCTTGCAACGTGATGTTCGGAAGATATCCTCACCCCCTCTTACTCCCACTGGTTTATGGATAGCCCTGCAGAATTCATGGTGTCAATTATCTCCAGTACTACTTCCCACATTGATCGAATCTATGCCACGTCGTGTTGCGGCACTTCTGCGTGCTCGCGGGGGCCCTACACGACATTAGGTAGGTATACCAGTTTTTTTTGGCTCCTCAGTGTAGTATTAAATGTTTTAGATAAATATACATTGATATCCAATAAAGTTAGGCATACGTTTAGTCTAGATATATATGTAAAAATATGCTTAACTTTTAAATGCCTGCGCAAATCTGTCTATTATACTGAACAGATATTATTTTATCACATTTAATAAATATTATATGGAGAATGATATAATAGTAGTAATTATATTTAGCTTTCTTGAAAAATTAAATAATACTAGTTGTTTATTTGTAGAAATTAAATAAATAATCATTTGAGTTACAAAATATTACATATTTTAAAACCAGTAACACCAATGAGGTACAAAAAATGCTGAAGCCTGTCGCTGTTTGTAACAAAAATTTTAATATCAGTACAACTGTTTGCAAATAAATAAATAAATAAAATTTACAATTTGAAAAGTTTGCTCAAACGTTTTGAAATGAATCTTGTGGAAACATTCAATAAATTTTTAGTTACTTTGGTAAGAAATGAAAATGACTAATATATCAGCAACTTTTAAGAAATAAATTAAAACGAACATAAATATAAAAATTCAATTAAAAATGAAACATTCCAGACTCATTCTGATATGGTATACTGATGTTTTTTTTTTTTACTTTTATCAAAATTAATCAGTATAAAAACAATTGCTTCATTAAACAATTTCTTTCACCAATGTCAAATTTCATTTTACTGTAGTAATCATAATTATTCGCTCACAATATCTAAATAAAGACATCTTTAAATATTTTACCTCGAGTTCCTCTATAGGTTCCAGAAAATCACTTATCATAGCTTCCTTGCCTTCATTTAGATTTGTTAAACTTATAACAGGGCTAGTTTCGGTTAAACCATAAGCTATCTGAAAAATGCATAGGGGTACATTATGTTATTCCATTTAACAAATCTTATTTTTCTTTAGTTAAATTTTACACCATGATCTGTTATTTTGAAGATGTGTATTATTAAGAAAAAAAAGATTAACTTTACTCTATTTTGAAGAAACTCTATGAAAAAAAAGACCTATATAATTTTTATTCATTATTTTTAATGTTAAAAGAGCCTACTTTTTTCCTACGAACTGTTCATGTTTCAGAAATTTTTAACTCTTTAGCTCCTTAAAAAAATTGAATGATTAAAATCATTCTTTTCCTTTCTCCCCAGATCAAATTCATGACTATTAAATTATCGAAAAGTGATTGAACCAGGTTGAGCGAATTAAGTTATCGAAACGTGGTAAAATTCGGATGATTGTACTAAATTATCGAAAATTGAAAAAAGTTGTGATATTTAAAAATTAAATGGTTAAAGTGATTCTTTTCCTTTCTCCCCCTAAAACAAATTCATGAGCATTAAATTATTGAAAAGTGATTAAAGTAGGGAGTAAGTACATTAAATTATCGAGAGTGATAAAATTAGAATGATTGAATTAAATTATTGGAAAGTTATAAAACTAGGTGAGGCATTAAATTATCGAAAAATGATAAAACTAGAGTGAGTGCATTAAATCATCAAAAAGTGAAAAAACTAGGATGAGTGCTTTAAATTATCGAAAATTGATAAACTAGGGTGAGTGTATTAAATTGTCGTATTCGAATTTACCCTAGTTATTCAAAAGGGCATTTTACGTAAGAATCAGCAAAAAACTGGAGTAAGTGTGTAGTCATGAAACGGTGAGAGGAAAAAGAGCCATATTCGAATTTACCCTAGTTATTCAAGAGGACATTTTACGTAAGAATCAGCAAAAAACTGGAGTAAGTGTGTCGTCATGAAACGGTGGGTGGAGAAAGAGTCGTATTCGAATTTACCCTAGTTATTCAAGAGGACATTTTACGTAAGAATCAACAAAAATGGTGCGATGTCTCAGAAAAAAACCTTTTATGCAGAACAATGCGACCCAATACTATTTTATCTGTGGAATGAAATTGAACATATTGTCATGAATAATGAAGCTGAACATATTACTTATAATGAAAAGTGCACTCATAGCACTCTGTCGTGATAAATGAAATGATTTTTCATAGTTATAATCATTTATTCGAAATATCAGCTAAGAATCATAGCTTGATAAAAAGCGTATATTATTTCAGTTCCAAAAAGCTTTGCAAAGTCTTCTTTTAGTCAAAATAATAATTCAGAGAAAAATAAGCATGTTCCCTTTTTAATATATTTTTTTAAATAAAATATTTTTTAAATTCTTAATTATCATTTCAAGATTTTTTTTGAAATTATGAATACAGTCTACACCATTCTTTCATAATTTTTGATCGAAATTTATTTATTTATTTTTTAAAAAAATGAATTCTAACCTAAATTGTGAAGAAGTTCTATTCAAAAAAGTTTTTTTTAGTAAATATTCGCATCAGAAATGAGTAAGAAAAGAATATTGAGTAAGAATGTGTACGATTAAAACTCCATGCCTAACTTACTTGAACTTTCTGAATTTTCAAGTCATTTTGTAATTCTTTTAAAAGCCCACCTGGTGCAGGAGATCCTCCTATAGTTACTGAAAAAGTAATCATTATCAATAATAGACTTACAGGCAGATGAATTAACTACTTTTCGAATATTTGTACAGAAAAAAATTTTATTTTTGTATTTTGTACTAGTTTTAACTAATTTTAGATAGTTTTAATTAATTTTAGAGTTAATCAATCTGAAGAAATTTAAAAGAAAAAGTACTCCCAACTTGCGAGGAAGGGATTTTTACAGCACATAATAGCAAAATGTTTGATAAAAGTAATACGATACAACGCAAAAGTACCGCTTGACATAAATACCAGAGTTCAATGTTTGACTTAAATCGGAATTTTATAAGCACTAAAAAACAATAAAACAAATTTCACTAAAAATTTAAATTTTGTCATCTCAAATATCATAATTTATAACAAATAATTCTAAACTTTTCGATTTTTGACACTTGTAACTAAAAAAATAATTTTATAATTTTCGCATTAATAATTGAATTAAATAATTTTATTCATGAAACTATAATTTGGTAAGCAACTTTTTAATTAATTTTATTTTATTTTATAACCATCGTTGAACAACCAAGCCAATTTCGAGTTTACGACTACCAATGTTCAACTCCGTAGCCTTGTAACTTTGAACCCAATCCAGAAGACAAGGGAACTTATGGATCAAGTAATAGGGGAAATTTGCCTTCGAGAGAACACGGCAAGAGGATTGTAATCCACGATCCGTCTATCCCGGAGGATATTTTAAGTTAGCACTGTGGTCAGTGCAAATCGAGAGCAAAATTCGCATCAACCAGCCACAGCTGGGATTCGTACCTGGGCCACCTCATTGGGAGGCGAACGCTCTATCCCCTGAGCCGCGGCGACTATATTTTTTTAATTTCAGTTATTTTTCCAAAGATATAGGGAAATACATAAATAAAATATAGCATTACGAGGCCCAAACTCTTGTCCAGTTCGTTTTCGTGTTGTCCGGTCATTATTCGTCCGGTCATGTTGTCCGGACTTATCCGGTCGTTATTAATACAACAGCTTTAGCTTTCTATTCACGGCTAATTTTTTGGAGTCAAGAAATGTTACCCATCTCAATAAATCATATTTGTTAAGAAGAAAAAAATACATTTCATAGTCTAATTTAGTAACTTAAGTTATTGTCTTGTTAATTAATGGGATGACGTTAGTCTTGATATTTCTCTTGGTCAAGAGTTAATCAATTAACCATGCGATTAATAAAATATAGTTACTGATCTAACAGTCAATTCAAGTAGACAGTTGACTTTTTGATTGCCGTGTTGATGGATCGAATTATGATGATTGCCGTTCAAATTGATCATCTCACTTGATCATTATTGATCGAATCATTTGATACTTGCCACGGTATTCATTGTATTTATATTCTAAGGAAATAATACCATAAATAAATTTTGGATGTGAATTAACATCCAATGATCAAGTTTTCATCCCATGGAATCAATTGTACATGTACTCGTGTACCATAAAAAGTAACGATTCGCAAAGAGAAACAGGGGTGACTTAATCTATCCCCTCATCAAGCACTATTGGTTGTAGTTTCCATGTTTTAAATTTCTGAGAAAAAATTAGAGTTAAATTAAAGCTCTGTTATTTATTGTGTTATTTTGAAGCTCAAATATACGAATTAATTCATGAATAAAGTTGGTCCGTCAAACCACTTAGATTGCATATCAAAACTTAAAAATCTAATATAATGGTAAATCCTTCAGGGTGCACTTTTTTCTCTGTCTTACTTCCCACCCACCCCTGTTTTTATCTTTTATCTACGAAATTTCGAAAGAAAGCAGAGCAAAAATTGATAAAATTTAAGGATTTGACAAGAAATATCTAATGATGACGATTTTCTTGTTCTCACGTTTGTCAAGAGTTTTAAGCAACAAAAAAAAATTGTTCCGCAGTTGAAGTTGATATTTAAAGATGGGGGAAAAAACGTCCTACTTATAGTCATCATCATCATGGTTGGCCAGACAGCCCAATGTGAGCCAATGCCTTCCTCTGAAGATTTCTCCACGACGACTTCCGATTTATCTTTGATCCCTAATTTTTTTCATTAATTGCGAGAAAATCAGACTCCACTGAGACGCCCCATCTCAACCGCGGCCTTCCTCGCTTTCTTTTTCCAGTGGGTCTAAAAGGCACTACACTATCTTTTTCATTGTGTTGTCGTCACTCATTCGAATCACGTGGGTGATCCAATTCATTATATTTATTTTTATGTATATCAGGTTGCTCAGGTTATGTAATATCAGGTTGTTTATAAATCTTGTACAGATACTACTATAGTATATTGTATAGATCCTACTTATAGCAAAAATTTAAAAATTCATTTGCTGTTTTCTTCAAAAATAAAATACAGGTGATTCATAATTTTATTGATAATTAATTTTGGTGAAAACAAAGATTGAATTAAAAATTGTATAATTCATGATCAAATTCTAATTCTAGGGCGCGTTTATGTAAAGTTTACTTTGACGCTTCGAAAAAATTACGTTAGGATTTTGTGTTTTAGAAATAAGAATGAGACACAATGGGACAGATAATATTTCATGGGCTGAAATAAATAAAAAATAAATAATAATAAAAAAATAAAATAAATAAAGTAAAATAAAAATTTTCTTTATCACGATATTTTTACAATAAACTGTGTTTAAGAACAAATAAATACTTTTGGGTTTGCAATTGGTTTTTTCTTCAGACTACTGATTTAGTTATAATTTAAAACTAACCGAAAAATAAAAGCGAGAAACTATGGCCTATTATGAATAACCAAACTCTTATCAAGAACATTTTAAATAACACTGAGTAAAATAATTAAAATAGAAAAAGAAATTTCATTTTTATGCTTTAAAAAAATTATGCTTTGTTTTTATACTGCTGTTCAAACTTAGTTATAACTCTATGTTTGTAACACTAAAATAACAGGAAAATTGTTTTGCGAAACAGTATACAAGCTATTTGGTATGTTTGAAAATGTGAACAATATTTTATATTTTATGCAATAACAAAAATTAAACCCCGGTTAAGAGTTGTTCTGAAATGATTCTAATATGTAATGAAGTTTTATTTTTAAAAAACTTTTATTATTTTCTTACAAATGTGCAGAAAGATTAGTGAAAAATTGAGTTATATTTCTTTTCAAAATAAATGCAGGAAATTTACATGCATGTATTCTATACAAGTATTACTCAAAACTTGAATGGTATGAAAATCTACCTTGTTTAAGTGAACTAATGTCATGATGAAGAAGCTTGTAATTCTTGACAATGTCTATTATCATTGTTGGAGTTCCAAATAGAACGTTGCATCTGTGAAAATAGAAGTGAATATGTTTTTCAATATTTATAGAGCTAATATACTTCTATATTTTAGAATAATTAAAAAGTATGGACAGATAAATCTATCAAAAAGTTCTATACATTCTGGAAAAAATAAATAAATGTCCCAATGTTTTTTTTTAAAGATATGTTCACTTAATGTTTAACACACTTCTATTCTGGAAACCTTTCTGACCTTCGTAACTTTAAAAAAAAAAATTATAAAAAATTCGTTGGTCGAAATTTATAATAAAAGCCGTATTAAATATTTAAAATAAGAAGTGCTTACTAAAAATTAAAACTAAAAACATTTGCATTTCGATAATTTCTTTAAAGTTTAGTAATGTAATGTAATTTTTTATGTATAGAAACGAAAGTAAAAGCATTTTATACCGATAGATGGCGGTAGGTTATGTTTTATCAAGTTGATGTATATGAGATAAGTAACGCTAGTGATTATATGGGATTTGATCTAAATGGTCGATTTTTCGGTCTCACTTATTAATTTGTTTTATATGGTTTAAGAAGAGATTTGGGCGCCGAATACAGTAATCAAATACAACTGTAATTGATTACAAATAATTAATTCGATACAATCAATTACTTGCAATCACAAGTAGTGGGGAAAATGATTACATGTACTCATAATCTCTGATTACACATGATAATAATGACACGTAATCATGATTACAAGTAATTAAAAAATATGATTACATGTAAATATGATTAAATGCAATTGTGATTATAGGTAATTAAATTATACGATTACAGTATAAATTTCTATCATTCTATTTAGGACAATAAACAAATCTGGGATAATAGACAATTAGATCGAGGAGTGTAATATTATGTACATAAATTGTGTATATATACAATGTACGTATATACAGGTCACAAAAAATAAATATATGAATAAAAAATAAAAAAAATAAATCACACTCTGAAAACCTTTTGATCTAATGATTGGATTTTCATCTACTTGGATTCAATGGCTTAAGAGGTGACCTCTAATATGTTAATTAGTCAGAGTAAGGATATTTTATGTTATAGAAGGAGATACAAAAACGTACTTTTTCTGAATAAACATACCACTTTTTTGCCGGATTATAATCTCTGACACCCAAAATATAGGGAACAGCCGCAATTCAAGAAATATGGCCTTAATAGTTTGGTCCGAAATGCGATTGAAAGTTTGAACCCTTTACTGTTAATTTTACATTTTACGTATTTGTTTATCGCTCAAGAAACTTTTAAGCAAATCGAAGAATTTTTGTACACAGTGGTAATTGTTTATCCAAAAATAATTCTTTGCAAAACTATTTTTTAGCAATTATTTATTATTTTACTTGACAATAGTAAAAAAAAATTGTAAGGTAAGCACATTTTAATATAATTTTAAGGAATGTAATTTTGTAAGGAAAAATACAAAGTTTGAACGAAATTGGTCGAATACATTCTGAGAAGTCGACTTTTTAAATATGCCACCTTTTTCTGCCAAGTCGTCTTAAAATACCGTCTTAAAATATCGTCTACACATATGAGATTATCACCTCGAACCATTAAGATTGAGATCTAGTTCGAAAAAATTCAATCATTAGGATCAAAAGATATCCAGGATGTTTCTTTTTTCTCGTTGTTCACCGTGCATAGTTGCAATATATGAATGTTCAACGAATGTATGTATTTGCAAGGAATTCTCATGCAAATACAATGTATGTACGTACATACAATGTATACACAGGGTGATTCTAAAATCAGTGAGAGACTTGGAGGGTGTGGGTGGGCACATCGTAGGTCTGCTAGGGGCGCTATGTGTGCCTTTAAACTTTTGTGTACTTTTATTCATGGAAATTATCTTAATTTGGTCTAAATTTAATTTTAATTTTTTGTTTTCTAATAGTTACTTTCGAAAATTGTTTTCAAATAGATGCAGATATGGCTGTTTTATATAATATCATGATTCAACGAACTTGTAATATTAGTCTCATAATCATTTAATTCCGACTAAAAATATAATATTATACCAATTTAAATGCAATTTTGGACAATAATTATTAAAAAATAGAAAATTAAGGTGATATTTAAATATTTTAGATAAGTAAAAGACCCTGTTGAATTATTGAATTTTAAAAAAGTTAAGTTAGTCCCCAGAATTGCCAATATTGCAACATTGTAAAGAACAATCCGATCATTTGATTAAAATATATTACGGTTGTTCCTTTCTTTAAATTTTGTGCACTTTACGGTTCATGTATCTCGGTGCCATTGGCAACCAGCTATAGTTAGTTCCCCCTGCTCTGAGTCCAAGACATGACGAAGCTTGAAGATCGAAAAATAACATTTATTGTATAAAATAGACAGCATACTCTGCCATTAAATAAAAAACAATTGTAAGTTACTATTAAACATCATCATTTACAATAATTTAAATATCAAATATATAATATAGATACAATCATACACCACACTATTCGTTTTTCTTCCAGACTGATGACTATCTGTTTCTCCGTTGAACAGGCTCACATAGCACAAGATTTTTTATTTTATTTTATAACCGTCGTTGAACAGCCGACCCAATTTTTGGGTTTACGACTACTAATGTTCAACTCCGTAGCCTTGTAATTTTGAACTCAATCCAGAAGACAAGGAAACTCCTGGATCAAGTATTGGGAGAGAAATTTGATTTCCTGGAGGACTTTTTTTTTTACAGAACTAACCCGCATTTGAGTTACATGGAGAGGAAGACCACGAGAACCTCCCACTGTCAGTTTGACGGCAAGGGGATTCTAACTCATGATCCGTCTACCACTGAGGATATTTCACGTCAGCACTGTGGTCGGTGCAAGCCAGATGCGGAATTTTTAAACATTGCATGTAAACAATTAATATAGAAAATTGAAGGGAAAAAAATTACAAAATGAAAAAAAAAAAAAAAAAAAAAACTTTAGAAAATTTTAAAAAGAAAACCCCCCTACAATCGGAAAAGCCATTTAAAAGATTAATGAAAATTTAAGCAGCAACAAGGAGTTTCAACTACAGGCTATCATTTTTTCGGCATTACGCTCAAACTACACTTCACAGGAAACTAGCAATATTGCTTTAAAGCCATCGTTGAAAAATAATCAAACTGTTGAAGAAATAAAAAACGAATTGGTGCACTTATTGTCTAAATATTAGAGTATATGCACACAGATAAACTTTCAATTTTATATACTAAGAGATATACGTATGAACTTCACATGAACTAATTAACATAAAGACTTTATCAATTAAAAAATCAGAACTGTAAAAAACTGACCTGTACTTTTCTATAGTTTTTAAGCTTTCTATGGAATCGAACCCAGCACTTGGAAAAACAATTGTACCACCATGAAGAATGGGGCTCAATGTCCCTATAACACAACCGAACGTATGGAAGAGAGGTACTTGGCAACACAAAATTGGTCTCTGTTTAAATTAAAGAAAAATGCACAAGTGTATTGTATAGTTTGATTAATAAAATAAAAATATAGAGTTAATAACAATTGATCGTGAAAAAAAACATTCCTGTTAAGAAACGTCCCCGAATTAATAATATGATCTGTATATTTCCTTTTTATATGAATTTTATTAATTAATCTTAGGGAAACTCTTTTATATTATCATCTACGTATATCCTTGCCCCATCTAATTATACGAAAACTAGTAAATATACTTTTCTGAACTTTTAATTTCCTAAATTTTAGAGAAGTGGTTCCCTAGAACTTAAATTTTTAATCTCCATTTCTTTCTTAAATTATTGTTTACTATTGCCTTAACTATGTTTTTTTTCGAAATCGATCACTAGAAACTATAAATAGTATCTTAAATAACCGAGAAATGTAAAATTCATTACAGAAATTATTGTAATAATTTACATAAAAAGAGCTTCATAAAAATAAGCATGATGCTAATGTGCTGATGAAGCATGATGTAATGGCATCATGTTTTTGTTAAATTTTAAAATTCTAATCCTATTTTTATTGTTGATGTTGATGATGAACTCTCAAGTTTGAAAATTTAAAGAATCATTCTACGCAATCGAATAGTTCATTGTTCTTGACAGTTTTGATAATAACAGGATAGAAAACTGCTGATCAACTGATAGTACTCAAAGTAGTACTATCTCAAACTTTATTGATTCTTCCATTATTTCCTCGTATTGAAAAACCTTCTAATTATAAAATAATATCAACGACGTATTTGGGTTTTTTACATCCGGAATTAATTTAGTTAAGATACAGTGAGATTAGCTTTTATTTTTAGTAAGTGGTATAGTATAATGATCGATATCATTTGTGAAAATGTTGGGGATTTTATATGAAAGGACATATTTTTTTTTTATCTAATTCTTACATTACAAAAAATCAGATAAAAATAATGCTTTTTTCGGTGCATTCTCTTTAAGTTCTTTTAAGCCGAATTTGGAAATTTTAAGGAATTTTTTTTTCTCCTTTTATAAGTAGCTTGCTAAAATAATCGATATAATTTGGGAAAAATTTTGGGATTTTATATGAAAGGATAGATTTTTTAATCGAATTCTTACATAATTAAAATCAGATAAAAAGGGATGTTTGTTTCTTACATTCTCTTTCGACAGTTAAGGCAAGTGGTATTAACCCTTTTCCTCAGCAGAAGACTCTGATTTCTCTAATTGTTATCAGAATAAAATTACTAAAAGTTATATAAGTATTGTTTACTTTTTAAATAGTTATTTATTTCTAATTTAATGTTGTCACATGTAATTCTTATTTATGATACTTTTGTAGCGTTTTCTGCTTTTAATTTTGTTTATTATTTCAAGTTAAAAGTAAGTATCCAGATGGTATGCTCCTTTAAAATAAAATAATTCTATGAAGTTACCTTAATTATCTTTATTTTATAATAAATATATTTGAATCAATTTCTTCACTTATTCACGGTTTAATAATTACTGAATAGATAATAAATTATATTTATTTTATTATAACCAGTAAGAAAACCTTTTTTAGTCATGATATCTGATTAAAATAATGAATACAAAATTATTAGGATTTTAATTTTTCACTATTGCTAACTAATCACTTTTACCGAAAACATTTTACGACCTTTAATGGTAACTAAAAATTAATACAACTTAAAACTAAAGAAACTGAAGAACTTTATTAAACTTAAAAAAAAAGTTTTTTAAAAAAAATATGGATGTACAAGCAAAGCTAGATAGCCGATCAAATGATGAAATTTAAATTTTATCTCATAGAATCGGGAACTTAATTTGTTTAAACAAATTTGTATTTGTGTGAACAAGTCTGAATTTGATTGTAACCGTCTACATACAAACTTTTTCATCACTTACATTTAATTTATTGTTACATCTCATCACTTGTTATCAAGTGATTCTTCAATGGGAGCTACTAAAATAATGGTTAGATATAAATAATAAAACAAGCTAATTGTTTACGTTAAATAACACATTAAATTTTGACATAGAAAATGTGTCTTAGTGGTCCTGGCAACAAAGGAATACGATATATCATATTTAGGAATTTTGATATATTAATGTTGTGAAGAGCTTTGTTTTTATTCTATTTTTGGAATATTTTTCAGTGGAAAAAAATGATCTGACCTTTGATTTGTGCGTAAAATGTGTCGAATCATATTAAGATTAGATATTAAGCATTGTGAGCAGTCACGTTGTCACAAATCAGATTTTGATGTCGTAAAGAATGATATAGTGCCTCTTAAATTAACTAATGCAATAACTGTTTTCAAACCTAACAATATATGTTTTAAACTTTTTTTATTATTTTAAATCATTCTCTTGATTTTTCTTTTGGTAATTTAGAAGTACAGATTCGTACTTAATTACCAAGAGTATTCTTAATTTATGAAAATATTAATATTAAGGGTTTTAAATTCTCCTCAGATTTTTTTGAAGTTAAATTGAAAATAAATTTTTAACACGATAAATCATATTTAATATTTAACCCACTGGTGGTTTAGTAAATGGGCAAAATTAGGAAAGTTTCTTTTCTAATTGTGAAGTAAATGTATTGAACTTTTGCTTTTATATATAAGTTACTTTTTTTTATAAAAACTTTTTTTTTAAATCAGAAATACTTAAAAATGCTAAGATATATTTAAAAAAATATAAAAAAAGTAATTTTTTAAAAAGCAATAGAGTTGGTTTTTAACTCAAACATGTTTAAATAAGGTTATCATGTAATGATCTGTTACCATCAAATCAAACTGAGCACGCCGTGCTGAATATATAGCATTGTTAATGATATTGTGATGTGTAAGAACAGCTCCTTTTGGCAAGCTTGTTGTACCCTGAAAAAAAGAATATATATATATATAACTACATATATATATCAAAATGAAACGAAATTTTACATGCGTAATGACTACTTTGATAAGTAAATAATTAGAAAATCAAAGAAAAAGGATAATTTATTTCAGAGAAAAAGGGAAAAGAACGGAGGAGTTAATACCCCGTTGAACCACCTCTAGCGCGAATGCATGATGCGATACGACCGTGCATTGAGGCATACAAGTTCTGTATGATGTTTTGAGGCATTTCGTTCCATATTTGTTCGTTCAAACTCGTGGAATGCCCAACTCGCCTTCCCAAATGATCCCAGATATGCTGGATCGGAGACAAATCTGGGGATCGGGCAGGCTAAGGAAGGGTGGTAACAGTATGGAGACAGTCTTGTGACACCCTTGCTGTATGAGGCCAAGCATTGTCTTATTAATAAATGGCTCATAGGAGTCGTTGCATGAGTGGCAACACATGTGATTGCAGGATTTCATGGACATACAGCTGGGCTGTCATGGTGCCACGGAACAATACTAGGGGTGTATGGTGAGGGGAGACTTTGCTTCCCCGTCATTAGCCGTCAAGGGTTGTATAGTGGTTTTACATGAATGTTCATTTAGGCCAATATTGAATGAATAAAAACAATAACGTTTCCAGGAAATAATGTGCAATGTAATTTAATGTAAATTAATGTCATTGAATGTAAATTTAGATTTTATTAAGTATAATTTGAATCAGATAGTGGCCACATCTTGAAAATAAGAAATCCCTTAAAGGGATGAAATAATAATACTCTCTATTGAGAGATCATAAAGCCAGAACAACATTTCTGACCGTTAAGAAAATTTAGACTGGGAGGCCCTTAAAGGGCTCCCAGCCTCCACAAATTTGAAATTAAAAGTGAATATATTTATTCTCAACGGACAGAGAAAGTATGGGTAGGAGATCCAAAATTTTGGCGATTTATCATAATATATCATAGCCAAAAACAAAGCCAACTAGCATATCAACATNAATTTGAGATGGATAGATGGCCTAGAGAAAGACCTTTTGGTCTTAATAACAAAAAATTGGAAAACACTAGCAAAAAAAGGTTAGCCTGGAAAAACTTCTTAAGAAGGTCAAGGCCCACCCTGGGCTTTCGAGCAATTGATGATGATATAGCGCAATAAATAAATACAAAAAAATCAAAAAGAAAACAGGAGAAAAACGAGGAAAATTTAGACGAAAATCAATAAGAAAAATAATAATAACATGGTCACAGTTAACAAAAAATATAAGTAAATAACTTACCGAGGTAAATTGAATGTTTACAGGATCATCACACTGTATTAATTTCTCTGTCTGTGTTAGTAGGGTATCACTCTCTTTGTTTCTGGAATCCGACACATCTTTAAATCGCAGAGTACCTCTGAAAGGAACGAGTAAGTTGTTTAAAAAAATACTTAAACTTACATTATTTTAAGAAAAAACTAGTTTCCATTATACCATTCTTTATCAGTTTTCCATTATATATATATATATAATATATTCCAGTGATTGCGTACAAGGATGCAAGAAGAGAGGGAAAAGGAATTCACAAAACAAAAAAGAGGAAATTGTTCGAGGATCTCCTTAAAAACGTTGAACATTTGAGCGATACTAATGAAAGCAGAGCTTTTTTTCGGGAAATCAACCTCGGGCGTAAAGAATTCAAACCAAGAATTACCTCATGTCGTAATAAGGAAGGAGTAATTTTGAGTCATATAACAGAGGTGTTGAAGAGATGGAATGAACATTTCGATTGTCTACTGAACACAGACAACGATGGATATGAGATACGTACAGAAAGCATGCAAACTGACAGCCAAGATGGGACTGCACCACCATCGTTGGAAGAAGTATCTGAAGGTATTAACAAACTTAAAGACAATAAAGCACCTGGTCCTGATGCTATTCTATCCGAATTGCTGAAAAATGGTGGAATTGAAACGACTAAGTACATACATAACTTAATAAAAGCAATTCGGGATCAGGAAATAATCCCTGAGGAATGGAAAATGAGTGTGACCTGTGTAATACACAAGAAAGGCGACTTACTTGAATCCTCTAACTACAGAGGTATTAGCTTGCTTTGTACAAGCTATAAAGTATTTTCAAATATTTTATACAACAGACTCTCTCCATTTGTGGAAAAACTGGTTGGAGAATATCAAGGGGGATGTAGGAAAGGAGGATCCACCACTGAGCAAATATTAACATTCAGCAGATTCTGGAGAAGACTAAAGAATTTGGAATAGATACACACCATCTTTTCATTGATTTTAAAGCTGCCTACGATAGCATCAATATAAAAGCCCTCACTGCAGCCTTGAGCGAGTTCAAAGTGCCTAAAAAGTTATCTAGGCTGATATACCTGACACAAACCACAACTAGGGTCAAAATACAGAATAATCTATCAAACCCAATGGTAGTAAATAATGGTATGCGAGAGGGGAGGCATTGGCATACCTACTCTTCAATTTAGTACTAGAAAATGTAATAAGAGATTCCAACATTAACATGAGGGGAAATATTTTTAATAAATCTGCACAACTGTTGGCTTTTGCTGATGACATAGACATCATTGCTAGAACAACACCTATAGCACTAAGACAGGCTTTTATTTCTTTAGAGAAAGCGGCTCTCAAGATGGGTCTGAGAATAAACGAGAGCAAGACTAAATATTTGCCCTGTACTAAAACAAACTTCAATAACACCCGTTTAGAAATTGAAGAAAATAAATTCGAGTTTATTGACAATTTCGTTTACTTGAGTTTTGCAATCAACAACAGTAACAACACCACAATAGAAATATAAAGAGGAATTACTATAGCCAATAATTGTTTTAACGGAATTCGAAAATATAAAAAATCTAATGTAATTCATAGAAAAACAAAAGTTTTCTTATGTAAATCTCTTATAAGATCAATTTTAACGTATGCTTGTGAAACCTGGACCATATCTTGTACGGATGACGCTATTTTGGGTACCTTTGAGAGAAAGGCATTGAGGAGTATTTTTGGAGGAATTCAAAAAAATTGATTGGGGCTCAGATGATCAAATTTAGAGCTTTATCACTCATATAATGAACCTGACATTATTAACTTTATTAAGCGACAAAGAATGAAATGGACAGGCTACGTTATCAGAATGAACGAAGACCGTTCTGCAAAAAGAGTTTTCAATGCCAGACCAGTTGGCACACGAAAAAGAGGGAGGCCGAATTTGAGATGGATAGATGGCCTAGAGAAAGACCTTTTGGTCTTAATAACAAAAAATTGGAAAACACTAGCAAAAAAAGGTTAGCCTGGAAAAACTTCTTAAGAAGGTCAAGGCCCACCCTGGGCTTTCGAGCAATTGATGATGATATAGCGCAATAAATAAATACAAAAAAATCAAAAAGAAAACAGGAGAAAAACGAGGAAAATTTAGACGAAAATCAATAAGAAAAATAATAATAACATGGTCACAGTTAACAAAAAATATAAGTAAATAACTTACCGAGGTAAATTGAATGTTTACAGGATCATCACACTGTATTAATTTCTCTGTCTGTGTTAGTAGGGTATCACTCTCTTTGTTTCTGGAATCCGACACATCTTTAAATCGCAGAGTACCTCTGAAAGGAACGAGTAAGTTGTTTAAAAAAATACTTAAACTTACATTATTTTAAGAAAAAACTAGTTTCCATTATACCATTCTTTATCAGTTTTCCATTATACCATTCTTTATGATCTCCTTAAAAATGTCAACAGATAAATTTATTACGAGGTAGGCTCATTTATTTGTTGATAATAAGTGAAATGTTTTTAGGGCAAAATCAAAATCCAACAGATATTCCACTTAAGAAGGCTTATTTGTTTGTAATTGTCTGTCCTTTCGTTTTAAAAAAAATTCTAAATTAACTTGAGGGTCATACTCTCGAAACTACTATCACACTTCTTGGATTGATCCGCAATTAGAGCTCGCTTTTCTCACCCATTGTATATACTTTAGTTTAGCTTTTTATGGCAGGTGATACCCTATTTAAGTGGTAGTTCTAAAATTATGCAATATAAACATCCTGCCAAAATGTTGACGTGTGTAAATTTCTTCCAATTTATGCGCAATACGATTTGGTTTATATGCATCTTAATGATACTTAGAAATTGCATTTGAAACAAATCTGAAGAATGTCGACATTCACGTAGTCGCTTGGTGTATGTCCGAAATATTTCCTAAATACCCTTATTTCTGACTCTCACCGGTGAATGTCAACAATCACATAGTCGCTTTGGTGAATGTCCGAAATATTTGTTATATCCAATTTTATATTAATTTATTCGTTAATATTATTATATTTATTTGTATTCTATATTTTAATACTTACTGACGATAGAATAGAAGAAACATCAGTGTTTGGAGTATCGGGCAAATATATACCGGACAGTGGCACTTAACCTTAAAAAAACATCAGTGGAAGGTATACCGGGCAATGGCGCTTGATCTTAAAAAAACATCAGTGTAGGGTATACCGGGAATATTCAAAATGAGGAAAAACAAAGAAAAATTATAGACATATGAGAAGAAAAAAAAAGGGGGGGAATAATAAGTAAAAAAATAACAAACAACAGTTAAAAAAAAGAAAGGAAAGAAAGGGATGAAATTTTATTTAAAAAACCGGGAAAAAAACATATAATCTTTTCATCAGCCCACACGATTATATCCGTAAAACAGAGTGCTTTCTGATATTGTATCAATAAAGCCAAAGCAAAATATATTAATACAATAGTGTGAGGAGCACTCAATATTTTTTTTAATAAAAATTACAACAAATAAAATAGAACGCAAAAAGTAAAAATAATTAAAAATAACATGTAAAAACAGAAAATAAAATGAAATAAAAAGAAAAAGCAGTATAAAAATGTACTATAAAGCGAGTAGCGAAATCAGATCAACTTACATGGACGGAAATTTTTTAAGAATGATTTAAAAATGTTTTCGAAAATTTTATATATATATATATATATATGTATACAGAGCTGTACTATTAAGATATCTCTTTGAGAATATATTTATATCATCCATGTTAA